CTCCAATTATTGAAATAGGAACTGGCAGAGTATAACCCAGGACATTTGAGGTCAGCCTACAGAGTACCTAATATGAGGTATTTTCTCTGGGAGTTGGGTCAGATGCTTGGGGTATGTAGCAGGCATTGCTCTCAATGGCTGAGGTGACTGGGTAGAGCACATGTCAAAGGTATTAGGCAATAGGCAAGTTTTCTAAGATGCCAGGGGCACAGAAACAGCAGATTTTGCTCCTGGTTACATTTCCAAAGACTAGAGGCTGAAGCAGAGTGTCACCTTAGAAAGGGCATGTGGTGGTGCGTGAGACACTAGAGTGGGCAGGTGGGTAGAATTCCAGTCACTGTGAATGGTGGGAAGGAACTAGAGCAGCATCACCCTGAAACTTGAGCTAGTTCCTCCCACACACACACTCTGTCTTCCCTGGTTCAGCATGGCCCCTGGTTCTGTGCCCCATTATCTTGTGCTTGGACTACATACTCCACTCTTCCCTGGAATGAGAAAGACATCTGAGATGAGTTTCCAGGTCCTGCCACCCTTCTTGAACTGTTTGGGCATTGTCTCTTTTCTCTGGGTTCCTACATTATGCTCTAAGAGGAGGGTGCCATCACACGGGACAGTGTTCAGACTCTAGGACACCATACATCCCATTCCCTGTGTCTTGCCTCAGGCATCCCATGGCTTGTCCCAGGCACCCTCACCACCTAGGTCCTGCCCTGCTCATATCCAGCACCTCTTCCTGACCCTGAGAAACATTCAGCCATGCTTAGGGCAGGCTCAACCAGCTTCAACTGCAAAGTCCATATCTAAGGTGCCCTGACCTTCTTGTCTTTGTTTCCTTCTCTCCTGTGGCCGCTTTTTCTTTATCATGTTGCCTTAGTTACTGTTGTATTGCTGTGAGGAGACACCATGGGCAAGGCAACTTATTGGTATTTTGCCTACAATTTTAAAGGGTTAGTCCATGATCATGTCAGGAGGCAGGGCAGCAGATAGGCAGGCAGGATGATGGAAGAGTAGCTGAGAGCTTACATCTTATCCATAAGGTGGGGGGGGGGCTGGCTGATCCTGGCATGAGCTTTCGAAACCTCAAAGCCCACCCCCGTTGATATACCTCCAACAATGTCACACCTCCTAATCCTTCCTAAACAGTCTACAAACTAGGGAACAAACATTCAAGTGAATAAGTCATAAGCCTATAGGGGTCATTCAAACTGCCATATAGATACATGTTCCACTGAAGGAGTCACTGAAGGAGTCTCCCATAGCAGTGGTTACCATGGGAGAGATTCTGTAGTTGATCACAGGGCTAAAATTAGGATTAGATTATAGTTAGTCGTTCTACAGCACGCCTTGCTGGATGCATCTACTGGTATTCATTCCCTAAAGTAAGACAGTGTGGTTATAAAAAGTCCTTCCCTGTGTTATGGAAAAATTTGGTTCTGCAGCAACAACTCCTCCATATCAACCTCTGGGGCCACAATGACTAAGCCTAACTCATCTTCTACAGGTTGATGGCTAAGCAAGCAAGTGAGAATCAAGTCTGGGTTCAGCCATGAGCTGGAAAAACTTCTTTACCTTACTTTGCCTTTGTGTCCCATCTGCAAAGCAAAGTTGATAAGAGCATTCACTGCAGAGTGGCTACAGAGTTCAGTGAGTTAGTAGATGCAAAGGGCTTAACATGGCATCTAGAACATAAAAAGTGTTCAGTCCATTGCATTATCTGGAGAAGCGTCTTTATCTACTTGATTTGCTCTTTTTTCTTGGGGTTTCAGTCTTGTAGAACTCTGTTTAACATATCATGATTCCCATATCCTTGCTGCCCTTGTTTATTTCATACTTGGTTTCTTAACGCTCTGTTATGATATTATCTCTCTCATAAAGTGGAGTCAATGCTGCTCATGATCTGGAAGCTGTTCTTCTGCTTCTATGGTGATGACTAATTGATTTTGCTGAAGCATGCACCACCACACAATTGACTGGGCTCTAATCCTGAGTTCTTTTCTTGCATTCCTCTTTGGCTCAGAGCCATATTAGGCTCTAACTCACCTTTTAAAAGTGTAACTCAGTACTCTTCCTCCTTTAGGAGACCTTGCAGACTGACCCCACATCCCTTGATTGAGCTGTTGTACCCTGTGGGGAGGCTTTGCCTACCTTTCCACATCCTATAAAGCACAACTCTTAGTCCTACATGTACTGTATCCTGGCTTTGAGGTCTCAGTCCTATTCTCCCCATCCTTTCCACCTGTTGGGGCCTCAGAAGACAAGGGGCCTGGGCTTTGGGTTCTCTAAGTGCATGAACACCCAAGATCACACTGTGGTTATGCCACTTTTGGTGAGTTCACTTCCCCACTCAGGGACATCCTGTTCCTACCAGCCTCTGTAGATGAGGGCTGGACCGTCAGAGAGACGCCTGGCCAGGCAGGGAAGAAGTGAGTAGCTCTGACGCACCCAGATTCCCTCCCCTTGCCTGACTCCTAGCTATTTTTTCTTTATTTTCCTTCCTGTGTTGAAAGAGATACGGGGCCTGGTCCATGCTAGAATTTCCTGGGGACATTCCATAAATTCTTCTCTGGAGAGGGTGGGATGAGTGGCTTGGTAAGCAGGAGGCCACCAGAAGCCAGGTATGGATACCAGTGCCTAAAAGGAGTGTGGGTGGAAGGGAAGGGTGAGCTGCTCAGAGGAAAAAAAAGAGGGGTATGATGAGCCAAAGAAACAGCACCTCACAGTAAGAAGACAGACAACTTGCAAGTTAGGACAGGAAGTGGGCAGCCCTTGAACTTGCTACCTCCACAGTGACTGGTCTACTAGGCTTTTACAAGACCCAGAGAAGTTGGACCGTGTGTGTGTGTGTGTGTGTGTGTGTGTGTGTGTGTGTGTGTGTGTGAGAGAGAGAGAGAGAGAGAGAGAGAGAGAGATGAAAAGATGCATGAATATTAAAAGGTCAGCAGATACAGGTGTTCCTCTGAAGCCTGGCTGGACCATTCTCCTTCTCTAGCAATACTGATTTCTTAATTTAGGTCTAAGGCTAGAGTAAGCAGAGACACTAGCCCTTGATTGAACTCTAACAAGTCTGAACCTGAAAAATCACTCTCAGCCTACACCCCCCCCCCCAGGTCCACTACTACGTCTCAAAGTAAAAAGAGTGCCAAGTATGGGGGTCAAGGCAAGAAACAACTAGCCTTATATTTTTTGTCTGGATCTCTAAGTTTCATTTTACCTGTGGAATAATGAGGGCAGTAGCTAGGTGATCTCAAGGCTTTTCAGAAGACAGTTCTATCTTGCAAGGATGGTTCTACTTTGTTAGGCTTACCCTATATGTAAAGCTTTGGTGACGGGCTTAAAGAGAATTAGTATGAATAGATCAACCTTTAATAGAACTTCCAAGATAGTAAAGGAGACAGAGTCTGGACCAGCAACTGGAGATGAAAGAAAGATGGATAAAGTGCCAGACACCAGCCCAGATGCTGCTCTTGCTGCACCTTAGATAACCTCTGTACAACTTTAGAGAAAAGTACTTCCTTTGGCAGGCAGATTAGTAATAGAAGCCTCATGGGGAGATGTGTAAGAATGGCATACACAGCCTGCTGAGGATTGTTTAGGTGGTTTTCCAACTCTCCCCCTTGCCCAAATCCCATGTTTCACGCAAATGTGCCCAATCTGATGAGGTGAGCCTTGCTGAGCAAGGAGGTAGACAGCCTCAGGCATCCATGTCAAGATGTGACCAGCAGAATACACCACTTCCCAACTTCAAGGAATAACACCTCTCTTGGGGAACAATTTTCTTATAGGGAATGACTCCTGCCTTCCCCAGCTTTATGCAAGCAAATGCTATGACCACAATCATCCTCTCTTCCACATGCTGAAGCCAAGTCAGGCCCATAGCTGTGGGGTAGAGTGATGGTGCAAGACAGGAACAAGCAGAACCATTTCCCAAGAGCCAAGAAATGGTCAAGGGGATTTGGCATTACAACGACCAGAGAAATCTGCAAATGTCTCTATCTTCTCATAACTCCTGCCACCTCCTCTCCAACAACTCAGAACAAGAAGAATCTGGGAATTCTTCCTCAGACTCCCTTCTGCTCCTTTTCCACATTCCTCAACAACAACCTCCCAGGGCTCTAAATGGATTAGGAGGAAGAAGCTTGGTAATGTCAACATCAAAGGAAGAGGTGCAGCAAAGTCTTGTCTGTGCCTTGATCCACAGGTGCTAGGACTAGTGAGGGGTGGCAGGAGAGGAAGCTTGGGAAAAGGGGATTAGCTGGGACCGGAAAGAATGTAGCTGTTATAATCCCACATAATGAACCAGACTGTGCTCCCTATCCACACCCTAAACACTCAACAAGTAGGTACAAGCTATTGGCTTCAGCCTCCCTTGCAAGAGGCCCCCTTGTTGCCAGTCCCAGACAGCCTTTTCCCTCCAGCTTGCAGGGGTACCCAAGGAGGCCTGGATACCTCTTTCCTCCTGGCTGCTGAGATTTGGGTAAGAAAGTGGGGGATATCTACAACTGCTTGAAGGATGGGTAACGAGCCTTGTACCTAAGCACCAATCATGTAACTTGAGGCCAGCATCCAGCACTACAGCTCTTAAGACTCAAAACCTGTCCTAACCAACTTCTTTCAGTTTATAGCCAACAGCTGGGTTCCAGATAGGAGTTGCAATACATATAATTCACAATGTGGATAGCAATAACAGCAATAAAAAAAAAGTTCTACTTGATTTGGGAATTAAAAGTGGTTTTTCTCTTGAGGCAAAGTATCTTCCCAATACCTCAATATTAGACAACAATGAAATACATTTGTATATTTTAGGTACTCAGTAACTGATGTCTGGAGGAAACAATTTAAGGCTAAATCACAAAATCCCTATCTTCCTCCCCATTCTATTCCCTTCCCTTAAAAAAATCAAGAATTTACCTATAGTTAAATCTCTACTGACCTCTGCCTTCTAGAAGGGTCCCTCAACTGAGAACTCAATGTGTCAGAAGAGTCAGGCCACTGATTCTTACCTTCTTCAGCTTGCCACTCTTAGTCCCCACAAAAACCACACTGTAGCCATTGTAAACATAGGAAGCCACAGAAGTTAAGCGGTCCCTGCTGGTGGTGTACAGGGTCAGTCCCTCCACAGGAGTGGAGCCTCCCAGAGGTTGGTTGATGTCCAGGCCACAGAAGTTATCATCAATGGGGACTGGCTGAAAGGACAGGAGAGAACTGGAATGAGTCACAGTGAAAGAATGGCAGGGTCACTTCAAACCACCCAACCATTGCTGTCAGCCTGAGGATACCAGACCTCACAGAGGATCAGGGCTGGGATCAAAGGTCTGACGTGTTGGAGACAAAGCTCATTGCCAACTGGCCCACAATGACATCTTGGCTCCCATGGGACCAGATTGTGAGTGACTAGCCATCTCCACTCTCCCAGAATTTTACCTTTCTGCCAGGAAAGTCAGATTGTAAAGCTGACTGAACTTACCGTCTGGTTCTTTTCATGTCCCCTCAGCCCTTGTCAGTCTGTGAAGATCTGTCTATTTTAGACAGGGCTCTCTCAAAGGATATCCAGCCTAGAGGCAACATTGTAAGATTCCACAGGCCTAGAGGTTTCCTGTTTGTTCTTTGAGCAAGCTACTGAGTGTTTCTTGGGCTGAAGAGAGGCATGAAAAATTTTAAGCCACTAAACTATCACTACTGCCTGCCATTCTGGGGACTCATTGTAAGAATCATGATAATATTGAATACTGTCTTTTGCTTTGGGATTTCTTCTTTATTTATCTTTGGAGTTCTTGGGGGGGTGAATCTGGGGCCTCTTGCATGCTAGGCAAATGCTCTATCTCTAAGCTACTTCCTCCTTCCTCTTTTCATTTTTTATTTTGAGACAAAATTTCACTAAATTGCTCAGGCAGGGCTTGAACTTGTGACCCTCCTGAGTTAGCCTCCCCAGTAACTGAGATTACAGGCCTGTACCACCAGGCTGTGATGGAAAATTTAATCTACATTAGAGTCTTCATTTGGTATGATACGCCCCCCACCTTTGGAAAGAATTATAGAGGATTAAATGAAACGATATATGTAAAAGACTTTTATCATTGTACGCCACTATCTCTGGTACATTATAGGTGTTCAAAGAGATGTCTTCTTATATCAGTCTTTTGAAGGGATTAACGGTAGGCCAGGAGGAACTGTGTCACTTTGAAAGAAGGCTCCCTTACATGAGTGAGAAAACTTGCCATACAGAGAATGAGAAGACTCATTCCCACCCTGTGTTCAGGCTAAGTCCACTGGGGACCACAGCATCCTCTTCTGGAACTGTCAAATGGGGAATCAGATGGATAGCGTTGTGCTTTGAATGGGAATGTCCCCAGACAGGCTCGTATATTTAAATGTTTGGTTCCCAGTTGGTAGACGGTTCAGGAAGAATTAGGAAGTGTGCCATTGTTGGAGGAGGTATGTCACTGAGTGTGGGCTTTCTAGCTTCAAAAGACCACAGCATGCCCAGCCAGATGTCTCTCTGGGGAGAGAGGGGGAAACAAGGAAGGGAACCACATGACTCTTAAGGATAGAGGATGCGTAGTGCCTGGCACGAGGCTGAATCTTGATGGGTGCTCCAAGACACCCCAGCTAACTGCCCAGCATGAAATCTCGCAGTAAAGGCTGCAGATTCTGGGCCAAAAAAGACCTTGAGTGCTGGAGGAGCTGGTCCCACCTGGTCTAGAATAGGCTTCTCAGAAAACAGAAGCCATAGCAGTGACCAGCACAGAAGCCGCCTCAGCCTTGCTTTTTCACCCTCACCAGGGAGGAGTAACTGATGCTTCATTTCCTCTGAATAATCGGTTAATAAGTTAGAGCACATTATTTTTTCTCAAGCTTGTGTTCCCACCTCGGCTCTGAGGGGAACTAGGACATGTCTCTGGGACCTTGGTACCTGTGGACAGCTGCCGTTCTTACTACTGGCGGGACTGATGGTGCTAAAAATACATAAGCCCTCCGTAAGAAAGAGCATCACGTTTTAGAGTAAGAATGGCCTTGAGCTCTGGGTGGCAGAGTCTACAGAACAGCTTGGAAGGGAAAAAGCCATTGTATAGTAGTGCTAGGTCATTGAGAGATGTCTATGTATACCTCTACATCCGGTGATGTCACTCCTGCTTGAAGCCAGCCTGTCTGGCAGTGTTTACAGCACAGGAATTGCCAAATACTGAAGACCAGGGCTGTCCTGCTTCCTCTGTTTTATTTTCCAACATGTTACTAGACAGTGCCAAGCAGGGAGTTACCAGCCACTGCTCTCTACCCTTGCTGCCTCTCTTACTCATCCTTGTTCTGTAAGCAGTAGCTGCTCAGTACGAGTTAGGTAATCTAGATTTTAGCCCTGTCCTTACTGCACCAGCCCTTACTACATGCCCTCTCTGGGCCTCAGTTTTCTCATCTGTAAAATAACAGAGTAGAGTCGGCTCATTGTCAAAATTCTTTATAGATTGTTTTCATGGCTTCAGTTTTTCTCTATCACTTTGTCCAGGGACTGGTAGAGCTACAGTGTTGCAACCTAAGCCAACTAAGCCAGTTTCTGAGATACAATGATAGAAGCAAAAAGCCCTGGCTGGCAACTGTGGGTTTCTCTAGATTCTTCCTGATGCTAGCGTCTCCAGAACAGCAAAGAAAATGATCTGTTCTGAGCCTACACCCTAGGATTGAATGACAATTTCTTCCTCAATATCTTGTTAGGTATTCCCAAAGCCTAATGTCCCTTTAAGTTTTCATGGACAGACAGTGACTGAAGTATGATTTTTCTCAGAGGTAGTGGTCCCAGGGAGCCTGCATCAGGTATCTGTGAGCTGCCCTGAATTCAGACCCTGCTTCCTGGTTCACAGTTATATAGATTTAAGCAGTTTATTTACACTTTCTAAGCCTTCGTCTTTCTATTTGCAAAAGGCCATGACAATTAGTGCTTTACCTGTGAAGATCAGGTGAGGTACGAACTGCTCAAAATAGTCCTTCGTGTGTAACTGATATTCTGTGAATGATGGGTCCCTTCCTCATACTTTTTTTCTAGGAGCAATATTCAAATCTTTGACTGGAGAGTTACATGTTGGTTCACAGACTATGTTAAAGTCAAGCTCAGGGCCATTGCTTCTCTTTGATCTTCAAATTTCTTAAAGGCCACTAAAGCATCACCAGTTCCTAATTCAGATCCTTTGGTCTCTATTAGGATCCTGAGGACACCACCAGTTTACACACCCAACTCTTTTGCTGCTTGAAATGATATTGCGCCAGGGGATGACAGAAGAGGAAGTTTTTTCCTATAAGGCAGTGGTTCTCCGGGGGTCACATATCAGATATTTTTTATTGCAATTCATAACAGTAAAAAAATTGCTATTATGAAGTAGCAACAAAATAATTTTATGGTTGGGGGTCACCACAACATGAAGCGCTGCACTCAAAGGTTGCAGCATTAGGATGGTTGAGAACCACTGTGAATAGCCACTTGTCTTCTAGCTATCACCAGTGTCTCTGACGTCCCATGGTCACTGCTCAGGCCTGGTCTCTCTGAGGCACCAGTGGAGCAGCGCACAGTGGCCTCTTCCTTTCAGCTTTGGCTGAGAGGCAAGCAGGAATCAGCAGTTTCCTCCTGACAAGGCCGTGGGAACCAGGGTGGAAGCTGCAAGGGTTTAACCCTTACATTTCCTCGCCACTTCTCCTATTTGAAGGGGGTCTTTGTTCAGAAAACTTTAGTGCTAAAAGGCAAACTGGAGAATACCTAAATCCAGATTTCTTATTTTATGAAAGTAAAATAACTGGCAAATAACTAGTCCCTCATTACTGTGATTAGCAGTGGGAATCCTAGTTGCTCGTTTACTGAAAAAATAGTGTGTGCCAAGCATGTTATTTTCATAAATAATTGATCCTCATAATAAAATGATAATATTATTTCTATTTTAAATAAGAAAAACTTGTAGCTCAGATACCACACATCACTTGCTCAAGGACACACAGGATATAGCTGGAAGAACTGATTTTTTAATCTAATTGATTAGATTTAAAGCTCAGATTCTTAACAAGTATGCTGTGGTGCCCTCTGTCATATGCTTGGATCAAGCTGTGATTCCTTGATGTTCATATTATGCTTAGGCATGACCCAAGGTTTTTACACTTGCTACCTCTCTCTGGAATGCCTTTTTCTCTGTCTTAGCCGCTGCTCCAAATACTACTCTCTCAATGGTAGATATTCTCTAGAATTGCTCTGTGCTGTTTTATTTTCCTCTATAGAAAATTTACCATTTGGCAGGCAGTATCATTTTATTTTCTTGAGAGTCTCATGTAGCCAGGCTAGCATTGAACTCACTATGTAGGCAAGGATGACTTTAAACACCTAATCCTCCTACCTCCAAGCCTTCCAAGTGTTGAGATTACAAATGTGCACCACCACATTGGGCTAGGCTGTTTTATGTGTTTGCTTGTCTTGCCTCACTAGTAGGTAAGCTCTCTAAGAGCATGCAACTTAGTCATGCAGCTTAGCAACACCAAAAGCAATTCCTGGTGCACTCTAAGCATACAGAGCCATGTGTTAGTATTGATTTAATGAATCAGCAAACTCATCTCAAGACTCTAATGTAGGCAAGACTCTGCAATTAGTAGTCTTCACCTAGTTGCCTAATGCCCTTTCTTATCCCAGGTCTTTACTGGCCTAGAAGCTGAGGGTACAGGGTTACAAAGGAATCAGGAGCAAATAAAGCATAGGAAGGCTCCTTACCGCCTTGGTGCACTGCACATCCTTTCCCAGCAGCCAGTTGAGCTCCAAGTTGCCTTCTCCTTGGTAGCAGGACTGCAACCGCTCCTTGATCTGCAAGTTGATGGCCCGAATGGGGAAGGCACAGAGGGCAGAGTCGTCGGGTGGGTGGTGGTACTGCTTCTGCCCTTTGGAGAAGATGGCAAATAGCACATCCTCATCACTGCTGATGTTGAAAGCCTGAGCTAGAGCTTCCCCAGGCTTTGCGAGATAAGCTGCCTGCAGGAGGCGGTATTCTACCCCGGCACGTGTGCAGCCAAAGGGCAGGGACACATAGGAGTGGAACTTGGGGTCATCCTTGCAGAGACGCACGATTCTTGAGGTATAGAAGAGGTCTCCAGCTGAGTTGATGGCCACACCCTCAGGGGTCTCTGGCTGGACGGTGAGAAAGTAGACAAAACCCCCGCTGGCAAAGCCATAGATGTAGAAGATGTCAAAGTGGGAGACCAAGGCTAGGGTGTCAGAGGGGATCTTGATGAGGGAGGAGACAAAATCACTGTGGAGCTCGTAGTCCAGCATGGCTGAAGACTCAGGATCACGGGGTAGCTTGCGGCTGGACAAGGTAGGGAAGTAATCCTGCTTGCCATCCACAGCAGTGCCAATGAAAAGCTTGCCATCTTCCCCCTCGGAGCGCACAATCACCCCATACATGGTGCCTGTCTTATTGACGCTGGACAAGTAGTGCTCCTTCTTGTGGGATGGCTCCACCAGGATGAAGAGGTCGTCCAGCCGCAGGAGCTTGCAAACACCCTGGTAGAGACTGCCACAGGCAAGCAGGCGATTCTCGGAGTAGTCAATGATCAGTAGTTTGTTAACATTGTTGGTGAGCGTGAGCACCTCACTGCAGGGCTGTACAATAAGGGGCGGGTAGCAGGCCTTGTTGTCTTCTTCTGGCCCTGTCTTGTGGGCCACCTGGATTGTGAGGTTGCCTGTCAACTTGTAGACCCGGTTGATGGCCCCCACATACACGGCCCCTGTTCTTCTGTGTACAGTCAAATGGTTGAAAGTCCAGTCACGGTTCTCGGAGTGGAAGGTGCTGAATTGAGGCATACCTGTGGTTTCACGAGCTAGGAGCAGCCAGGCTACTGAGAGCAGTACCACAGACAAGTTCTCAGTCTGCATGGTCCACAGCTGGGACCTCCTCTGCTCCATCCCGAGAGGGGCAAGGCTGGAGGGATATCTCCTCTGTATACTACTCCACTTCTCTGGATCAGCTCTCACATGGTTCTGAAAAACACAAGGCAAGGGGTCAGACTAAAGGTAAGTTCTACATGAGCTGTATTGCTTGACCAGAATTCCCAAATCCAGCTGGCCCTATGAGTCTCTTTTGCTACATTTTAGTTTTTCTATTTTTAACATAGTTTCCTCTCTGAGGGATGCTGAGGGAATCCCATTATCATCGGTCTTTAGTCATTATGCTGTAAAATATGCTTTTGTTTGTATGTTTTATTTACATTGTATAAAGCATCCCATTTCAAGACATTGGTTTTATCTCTCAGAAAGTTTAAGAGACTGGAGTTCACTCAACCAGTCAACGCTGATGCCAGGACTGAGATGTCTTCCCCACATACTCACTTTAGGAGCCCCCACTCCAGTACGATCCGTCAATAACGTTTCTCCTTATCTCAGACTCCCTTGACTCCTGGGATCACATGTCTTCTCATGCTCTGATATCCATAGGGAAAGAGAAGTGCTGGTCACCTCTAATGGTGCCCCACATTGTCCCCGAGGAAAGGGGGTTTATAGAAAGCATGCTATTCGAAAAAGACTGAATTCCTAAGCCTGCCATCCCAGAACCTGAAAAGCCCCCTGAAATGGCAGAGTCTATTCCTCTGTAGACAGACATAGCCACTGCCTCATGGGAGAGGAATACATGGCTTCTAGGAACCCCTTAGCCCTTTTCTCCGTAGGCAGGGCCACAGTGCCTGTCTTCTCTCTAAAGGCCTGGATAGATGGTGGAGCCCAGTAGCATCACCTGAGGCAGGAGCTCTAGCGAGGCATACTTGGGCAGCAGTAGAGGAAGAGGAGTTGGAGGGTCAGTTTTACCTGGTCACTGCTGGAGAATTCTGACCATTCAATCATTTGTGAGTTTAGCCCTGGGCCTTGATCACAGAGCTTCAAGTTCAGCCTTCACTCCTGCATGCTTTGATCTCGTCATCATTACAAGAAGCTGTCCAGTAAGCAGAAAGAACCTCTGAGGGCACTCACTAAGACCAGCAAGGGGAGATCCCGGGCAAGGAGACAGAAGTCAGGAAGCCCAGCCATCCCTGGACTTGCTTGACCAAGGATGAACAGTAGTCACTTGAAAGCTGCACCAGAAGAGGCAGCAGTCATCTGGCTAAGAGAGCCTTTCTCAAGTTGAATAGAGTGCCTGAACAACCTTGTTGACAAGTACTGACAGAACTCTGGGTGCACTGACGACAAGAATGGAAACACTCCAGCTAGGAAGAGAATTTGCTCCCAGGTAGCTCAGCAAAGGCCTGCCTGCCTGTTTCCTCAACTACCCAGGCTGGCTGTACTGGGTTATAATGAGCCTGACACCACTCCCACCCAGTTTTTTCTTGTATATTTAGAGATGCTCCTTCTTGCTCCTCCACTTTGCAGCATAGGTCTGCAGCCAGCATGGTGCCAGAGTGTTCCAACCTGATTCTGTTTCTCCAAGGGGGTTCTGATGGGTGTCTTGGAGGTGATTCATGAGGTCCCAGGCTTCCTTGGAAAGAGGAAGGGCAGCGCGAGGCTGGGGCTGACCTTAACTACTCTAACACAGCCCTTCCGGCCTCACAAGCAAGGCTCCCAACTCACCCAGATTGCAGTTTGAAAAGCAGGTTATTTTTAGCTATGTCCTAATGCCGGTAGCAGGACGTGAATTCCTCAAGAGGAGCTGCAGAAAGGAAATAACAGAATCCTCAAACTCTCCAGCTAAATGGGGAATTGCAGGAGGTTACACTGCATGCATGCTCTTCTCTAGAAGACAGGGCCACAGGTGGGCTCCCTGGTTACAAGTGGCTTCAGATAGAGGGTGTAACATGAGAACAGATCGTCCATTCAAGACAAGCTTTGAAGATGAGGCAACCTGTCACTATGCAGGGTTTTGGTGCTTGCAGCATAGAAATTCTCTATGAAGCGCAGTGGCACTGAGTTTATGGACTGCATGCTCCTGCTTCCCACCTCACACATCCACATACATGCCTAACTCATGCACACAAGGAGGAGTCCAGAGAGCAGAGACCAGCATCGGAAGACACAGTCAACCATTTAGCTTCCCTCCTCGCTGACATAGTTCAGGAGTTGAGAGGCTTTTGGAACAAATCTGGGACATTAGACTGATAAAGTCCCATTTCCATCTTTGTTAGAATGAGGTAATGGCAGTACCTAGCTCTCTGGTTGTCCTGAAAGTTAGTGTGGTTCTGTAGGGAAACTCCTTAGCCACACCACTGGTACCCGCTACATTATCATAAAGGGCTCTAATGGGAAATGGAACTGGAATTCCTGACTTCTTGCTTATGGTTTCCTTTTCCATGGATGGACAGTATGTGGAGAGCTTTGACCTGCTGGCCCCGTGGCAGAGCTTATTTGGAAGGTAAGTGTCAGGGGAAAAGAACAGACCCAGGCTCGTTTTCTCTGTTATATTATAGCACAAGTCCTAACACAGCCTCTCTGAAGACATCAGGGAGGCAGCTGAAAGCTGGGTTCTGAGTGGAGAAACTGGACTGATGATGAGAGGGACTGTGGCCACAGCGTAGATAGAAGTGCAGTGAGTTCATGAACACAGGTCTAATGTCTGTCACTCACAAGTTGTCTAGTGGATGTACTGTTCTAGCATTTCCCTGAGTTTGTTTCCTAAGCTGTCAAAACTAGCCAGTCTGCAAGACTCCTCCTTCCAGATGAAATGATGCCTTGAGGCCCATCTCCTTCATTCCTTGAGTCTGGGTTAAATAGCCACTGAGTTCCTTCTGTACTGCCTGTGTAGCTGACCAGACAGGCTTTTCCAGCACATCTCTGAAGCAGGCCTGTTTTCTTTGTACCCCTGTAACTGCATGATCCTGGTGACTAGTCAGGAAATTCATCCTCAGGCCCAGGGGCTACCCACCCCAGCAGCTACTACTGGACACTCTCTCCTGTGGTGAGGGATGGAAAGGTTTGATATCTTGACTCTCACAGATTTATGTGTCAAGATGGATGGAACCAAGATATAGCTCTAAAGCAGGGTTCGGTGGTCAAAGGTCAGGGCACCCAGGGGAGCTCAGGGTAAGAAAGGCAGCCACCTTGTGCCTGTGAAAAGCAGCAGTGTGGTATGGTTAAACTCTGGGATGAAGGACTCAGATATGTGGCTTTAAGCAGAACTTCATCTCTGTGCACCTGGTCAGGGCACAAGGCCACTCTGGGAATGCTGTCTCCCCATCTATCTGAAATGGACTTAGATCTGGGTCCTGCCATGCAGGATCGACATCACAGTTACAAGTCCTCAGTGAAGCGTCAACCATGCCATGTGCTCAGGAGGACTTAACCTTTATCACAAACTGATATTTGCAGCTCCTTGTTTTCTTTTGCCATATGATCAGTCTTAGAACAGATATCCCATTCTCAGACTGGCTGAAGCCTGTGACACTGAACAGTTAGGACTTTCCCTTACGCCTGATTTTCTGTTAATGCCAAACAGGGGTTCTCTTTTAATAAAACGCCCCACTTTCCACCACATCCTCTCTCTGTGTCTGTTCAGGAAGTCAGCTGTCATATTCTGGGCCTTGTCTCTTCTATCAGTTTTCTTCTCCCTTCCCAAGTTCTCAGTCAGGGGAACCTACTGTCCTAGACTTCTGAGTCACCCTCAGAGCCTCCTCAACATCTTCCCCATGGAGATTGTGACACCAAGTAGAGTTCACACTTGCTTCTGGGGAAAGCAGGTGCCACTAAATATTTTATTTGCAGGTCTGATGACACCATCTTCCTGATTAGGAACCAAGAGAGAGGCAGGTGCTGATGACAGCCACCTAAGGCATCTGATACCTTTCTGACCAGCTGGCATAAACGTCAGTGACAATCCAGGAAGGAAGTGAAAGTGAGGCATTTCCAGCTCAGCTCTATGCAGGATTCCCATCTCCCACCATTGTTGCCCTTCCTGTGAGGTCTAGGTGCATGTTGTGACTAACCTCCCTCACCTCAGAGGAAGTGGTGGCAGTAAGAATTAGAACTGCATAGAGCTTTGTGATAGAGTCAGAGTGCATGCTAGATCTCATGCCATAGTACCCATGAGGAGCTATGGGTACTAGCACCATCTCCACCCTCCCCATCATCACTGTTGGAGCTTCCAGCATTACTCCAGTACTGATAGGACTTAACGATTCCCACTCTCTTCATCATCCTGTCACCCCAGTACCACTGCAGCACAGACAGAGCTCCATTATCCACCTGCCCTTGCTATCACAGCCACTGTTACCCCTCGTTACCTCCAGCACCACTGCAGCACTAATAAAGCGTAACTGTCCCTGCCATTGTCATCACTGTTACCTCCAGTACCACGTGGTAATAAAGGAGCTCAGCCTTCCATACCCTATCACCCACCACTGTTATTGTCATGTCATCTCCAGTGCCATCTCGGTGTCAACAGAGTTCCGCCATCCCAGATAGAGTCTGCCATCCCAGTTTGGTCACTATATTCCTCACTGTAACCTCCAGCACCATCACGGTGCTGATAGAGCTCTACCATCTTCACCTTACCCAGCACCAGCACCACTGCAATCCCCTGCACCATCACAGTGTTGATAGAGCTCTACCATCTTCACCTTACCCATTACCATTACCACTGTAATCCCCTGTACCATCACGGTGCTGATAGAGCTCTACCATCTTCACCCAGCACCACTCTAATCCCCTGCACCATCACGGTGCTGACAGGGTTCACCCTTTACATCACTGTCATCATTATCACTTCCAGAACCATTGCGGTGTTTCCTGTCACCACAGCAGTAGTGGTGAGTAGTGATGACCATGTTGACCAATTCTCTACAGCATGGTATACACAGCAAGACACAGGGGGTCAGACGGGAGATGGGGCAGGACACATCTGGCAGCCCAAGGACGACTCATCCTCCTTCTTCCATGGCTAATTTGTCCACTCTCTAGGTCACTTTTATAGTCAGCAGGACTTTGAGAGCTTTGCTTCAGGGTGGGCATTAAAGGACATTTTAAAGTTACTCTAATCTGCCACTTACCACTGTTTTCAAATGAAA